GCTCTTAATGCGCGTTTATTCTTACGCATAACGAGCTTGCCAAACGTAATTACGTCCTAGGGATGTGTGGGTGTATCTGTGTGTGTTTGTATGGGGGGGTCTTTATTGCTCTCTCTTCCGGCCTGTCAGCTTGTCCTGTGTCTGTGTGTGTGTGTGTGTGTGTGTGTGTTTGTATCTGTGAGAGGCTGCCATGTTGGCGCGCTGCTTAATTGAAGTGGAGCGACAGACGGACAAACTGTATCTCGGGTATCTCGGTAATATCCTTCTCCCGACTGCGTCTGTGTATGTGTATCCACTTATCCTTTTCATTTACGCCACATCCGCAACGTTAACTCGCTGCTCACTGCCACTCCTCGACTTTACTCGGCCTCCCCACCTTTTTGTTTTAAATTAATTTGCTTTTAATTTGCTTTATTATGTGGCAATTTCTCCGCCTTTCGCTGGATTTAATTAGTTTGCTTTTATCGTTAAGCAGTTAACTTTCCAATGAAATGAGTGCTTGAAAGGGGAGTGAGAAATATTAATTTTTTGGCCAAATTAAGCATACGCCTGGTGTGCTCAGGGTAACAACTAATCGTGTAATTAATGGTTTTCGAAAGGGCCAAAGCTGATCCTATCTTTTTTCCCCGACAGATGCGATCGAACTGCACTTAGGCGAGTCCCATTATCAGAGGAATACCCTCTAAAATCTAAATCATTCTGCGCATGCGTAAAAGTCTTAAAAAAAGAAGGGGATTCTGCTGCTGAACTGAAGAACCAGTTTAGCGGGCTACCTTTTTTTTACTCACAATTCCCATTCGAATTCTGGCTCTCATTGCTGTGGGCGTGGCCTAAACCAGTCGCTCTCTCTCTCTATCGCCCGCTCTCTCTCTTCCTATGCATTTGTGTGCGTGAGCGCTTCGGCGCATTAAGCTCACCCATACACAGGGAGGAGAGACACACCGACATGCCTTGTGGTAGACCATTGAAAAAGTGATGAAAATAACTCTCTGTCACTTTATTGGCGCTTAACGAGTTTGAGTTGATGAAGAATTTAATTTATGATGCTGCTCACACCATCAAGAAAAGCGAGCAGCCCCGAAAGAGATGGCAATAGAGAGGGTGAAAGAGAAAGAGAGGGGGTATGGGGTGGAGTGGGAGCCAAAAAACCGCAGAGCACAAGAGGCGGAGAAAAAGAGAGAGGGAAAAAAAGAAGAAAAATTAATGAACTCGTAACTGTCGCTTTTGCAAATTGGGCTCTGAGAGTGTGCGAGTGTTGGTTAGTGTATGGCTGTGTGTGTGTGTGTGTGTGTGTGCAGGACTCACACTCACACTATCACACACACACACACAGACAGGAGGAAACAGCAGCCGTCGCTGCCGGCAGACGTCAAGCTTTGATGATTTAATTTTCTGGTCTTCTAATTTAATTTTATTATAGAAATACAGTCATGTGTGTATGTGTGTGTGAGAGAGTCTGAGTGAGAGCCTTTTACTTGTCCACGTGTGTGTGTGTGTGTGCCCCACACCCTCACAGACACACATGCAAATTCGTTAATGGAAAATGGTGGCGTTTAATTGAAAAAGGAAGTGCGCCAAAGGGCTGAGCGACAGGGACAGGAGACTGGGGCAAAAAGGACTCGGCAAGGACCGAGTTTTCCATCAAATTAATTTCATGTGTATGTCTCTCTCCCACCCTTTCTTTTCCAACGCTGCCATGTACATCTTGTTATTGTTCACTTTTTATGGCATTTCTTTTTTTAGTGCGGTTACTGTTGCAATAACAATTTTCAATTAAATTTATTTGTTTGCATTGCCAGGAACAAAAACCAAAAATAAAAAAAGGAAGAAAGAAAGCGAGAGAGCTTCTCTCCGCTCAGTTTGTTCACCCGCAAAGTTAATTGAATTAAATATTCCGGCGAGATAATTACAAAATGGCGTTGATTAATCGTCAGCCGCCATATTGATTTTGCCAGCAACAATATTTAATGATTAACAATTAACATTGAACAGGGATTTTTGATGCAGACACTTGCCAGCCTGGCATGCCACATCATCCTCTTTGTGCCTTAATAAAAGCAATTAAAATTCATTAGCTGCAAATACACACACACACAGACACACACACACTGGCACACTAGCAAGGACTCACACAATCACACACTAATGCCATCATGCGCTCGTTTTCTCAATTATTCCTTCAATTTTGCATGCCACAAAAGCAAGAGCCAAGGAAGCTAAGCCATTCCCCTTCACCATGCCCCATCCAAAAGGACCTCTACGAGGCATCCTCCATACATATTCATGCGGCTAAATGAAAACGGCAACACTTAAATGCAATTTGCCTCAATTTTACCAGCAGCCAACTCTCCTCATCATCCCCCCTCTCATTTTCCCGCCAAACGAACGTCTTGGCTTAGAGCGTCTTAACGTCTTTTCATGGCACTTACATCGTCATTCTATTCGTCTAATTTCATTTTCTTGCACAAACTGCTGTGTTGCTGTGGGAAAATGGGAAAGTCGGAAAGTGGAAGGACGAAAGATGTCCTGGGTTCCTTTGGCCAAACTGGCTTCGGTTTATTCAGCTACTAGAGGAGTTGGATCCTGGCAGACTGCCTGCTTTATTCTAATTACATTCAATTAAACGTGCTGATTGATATGTTTGTTCTGCTGCGACTGCTTCGATAGAGTTAACGATTTCTAAGGAGAAGTTAAGTAAATCAGGCCCCCAATTGTTTGGGCTTTGGTTATATGTTCAAGGGATTGAATCAAAAAGTTGGGATTCAATTGGAAAAATCAATTAACACGAATGTTAGAAATTACGATTCTAATGTCTTGTAATTAGAACTAGATTTTTTAAATTAAGAAAATATACATATTATATAGATTCAGAATAAACAAATGAAAATATAACATCTTATTCCTAATATATTGGTAAAGTTGTGCATTTTATGGGAAAGAAATTCTAGTCTATCTCTTTTTGAAAACAGAAAGATATAAGGTGCAAACTAAATCTCGTAAAATCGTATCAAAATTTTTTAACATTTATATTTGCGTAGGAAAAAAATGTTGCGCTTTGAAAGTCATATTATGTTAATTATTGCTGTATAATGCAGTGTTTCATTTAAATTCCTTTAAAATATTCATCTCATTTGCTTCTAATATTTTCTAAAATGACGCTTGTCTACTTTGACGGTTAAATAGATTTTCAAACTAATTAAGTGCATATTATTTGCATTTTAGTGTTTCATTTTCATCTAATTTAACATAAATAAACGAGCCACTTTCCACAAGCATGTGACGTAATTATTGCCATTCTGGGAAAAATTGCATTAATTTTCTAACAAACATTTTGACATTAATTGAACATTTTGTGTGCAATCAATTTGCATATCAAGCATTAATAAATGGAATTATCCGTTTTTAATTGCATTTCTCAGACAAAAGTTTTAGTTTTTGGCCGAAAAACAAATTATTTTGTCCAACAACGTGGACATGGCGGCAAAACCCTGGCTGAAAACGAAAAGCGCGACCGAAAAATTAAGCTTTATTTGTGGAAATTGCAATTCAATTAAGTTTTCAAAACATGCAAATTGCGAATGGGCGCACAGCAAAAATATTGACAGAGCGCCGAGCAACAAAAGCGTACCGAAACTTGTTTGTATAATTTCATTAGCGTTGATTTGCAGCAAATGCAATTGCAGTAAAATTCACTTGGCCTGCCATTGATTAAACAAGTCGACATTGGAGGCCCCAAATCGAATTGGATTCGGGGGGATGGGATCCGGGGAATCCCCATCTCTCGAATAAAAACTAATTACGGCCCTTGGTCGAGAATGTCCTTCTATGGTTAGGCGCCAACTGATAATTATAAGCCTGCAAACAGAACTCTGATTGCCAAGCAGCAGCTGTAATGAGGGGTGGGGCGGGGGATTTGAACAGGAGATGAGGGTGCGTCGCCGCAGGAGGCCCAAAAACCCAATCCCAGGCCCATGCCCATGCCCATGCCCATGCCATTCCCGTTGCCAATCCCAATCTCAATACCAATGCCAATCCCAATCCCAGGGCAAACATGTCCGCAACAGTTTCCGCTGCACTAACGAAATTACAGACGCAGGCTCACACGCACACACACGCATCGCCATATCCTGCGGCGATTGTGCGCACAGGATGCGAAACAGGCTCAGGAACTCAGGAACGCAGGACCTCGGGACCCCGGAACCCCAGGACCCTGCAAACGGCTAATGCTAATGCTAATGCTCTTTGAACGACTAATTAGTGAATTACTATATAAGCACACTATTTGCCCAGCAAACGGCAACCCAAAGCAAATTGTGCGGAAGACTGTCCAGGATGTACATCAGAAATAGAGCGGAAACCAGGACCAATTAGATCCAGCGAATGGAGTCCTGGTTGCCAGTCAAAGCGTGAATTTACTGGACTGGGTTAAATAATGCGATTTCAGCGAGAGTTTGCTATCTGAAGGAATACTCTAATGATTGCGTTGATTATTATCTTATTACCGAATCTACCTATCGGTATCATCGATGATATCAATAAACTTATTCATTCAAATCAAGTTTTTTCAAGTGTATATAGGAAATCTGAAGGAACATTTCATAAGTGTAGTTGGACAATATTAAGATACAGACCCTTGATTTTGATAGTATATCCTGTAAAATTATCGAGTCTTCTTCCTTATAAAAATAAGCAACTCAATAATGTCTTGTTATTTAGGGTTAGAGAATCATATCTGTGGTTTAGTTTGCTTTGAAACTTTTCCGATTAAAAATGTTTCTTCAAGATGACCCGACTTATAGAATCTATCTTAAAACCATTATGACCGAATAGTTCCTTACTCTATATATTTAATTCGCTCCAAAGACATATTAGTTTATTTTTTGGGAGTACTTAAAATCAGTTCCTTGACTTACCATATTGAACTCAGAAAATAATATAATAAAGTATTGCATAAATGTTCAAATACATAATTTAAACAAATCTTGTTTATAAGTACTTGATTATTCCTGAAACCCGGTTCGGTAGCGATTAAGGTGGACCGTTCGATCCTCGAGCGGCTGAACAGGACGTGCATTGCGAGTGATCCTTGCTCCACTTTTATCCTTCAGCTGGCGGAACTCGTTCAGTTGGCGCTCGCTGATGGCCAAGGACACGGGGTGCATCAACCACTCAGCCCCCCGATGACACGGGGGTTCGGTTAGCGATCCATTGTAGCTGTAGAACTTGTCGTAGAAGGCTGGCATCAGGTAACTCAGCGGAAAAGGCGGTACTTCCACCACCTGACCTGCCTCCTGAACAGCAGCGAGATGCTGAACTAGAACGTCGAGAAAGGGATTGTCGTCGGAGAAGTCGAACATGTAGGAGATCATCAGGATGCCCTGGCTGGAACAGCAGCCATTGCCCTCAGCATCTGTGTGGAGGCACTGCATCTCCAGCGGACTGTGGTGATGGTCCACAGTGTGCTCCGAACCGGATGAGTTGGTCCAGCTCCAGCGGAAGGAGATCTCCCGGAAGTCGAAGCGACCCAGCAAGTCGCCACCATCGATAGAGGGCGTTTGGCCGGGAAAAGCAGCTCGAAGGATCAGAGTGTGACCGTTGTTCTCCAGGCGAATTCCCAAGGGAACGTCATTATAGTGTGACCATATCAGAGGTGTATCAAAGTAGTTCAGATCCACACAGTTTCGCTCTATATTAATAGGGCTTTGATTATTGCCAGGGGCATTCCAAGTATGTGGACCCCTATCCCAACCGTAGTTGTAGCTTTCCGGCGAACCGCGAAGGGTACAGTTCAAATCACCAGAGGATTCACTCGGATGATCCTCACCAACATCTTCAGATTCTTCTTCCGATTCCCTTGGACAGCTATTAGCCATGGTGAATCCCGTGTGAACATTTACCAATACCAGTAGAGCCACGCTGAATGCCATTATCAGCTTGAGAAGATTGCTGTCCTGCAGGCGGCAGGATAGGTCCTCCAGCCAGCACCAAAGGTACTTTAATAAACCACAGGACAGACATCCGTTCATCACTAGAATGGCAAAATAAAATCCACTCAAGAAAACTTGGCTAAGTATTTTAACTCCACTGGATGACAGCCAACTGCTGGCCTTCCTGGTTGAGCGGGAAAACTGAGAAAATTTCTAATTAAACCCGCTGAAAAGTTAATTATTTTGGAAAACAAATTGGGCGCGCAGCAATTTTGTGCGAAAACATTTGCAATTTGTTTGCATTTGTATTTTGCATAAATTAATTACGCACAAAACTCTCTTCGGCGGCGGAAATTGCTTGCACAAATATCCTGTGCCGCTCCTGCGTGGATCCTCCCGGCTCCTCTTCCCCTCCGCCTCGTCATGGCACCCCCTTCAACCCTTCTATGTTGCATTTTGGGAAATTAATTAGTTTTGTATGTACAAAATAGGCGAAATGAGCACTAGGTGCCAAACGGAAATTATTTTCAGCTACCCAAAAACACCTTTTGTGCCGCGACAGGAACTACACAGGAAAAAAGGACTAAAAGGATAATTGATTTGACACAATGAAACTAAAATGTATCTTATAAATCTCTTTATTATTTAACAATATTTAGTTTCTTTAATTTTGTATTTTATATATATTTAGATTTATTGTTTCTTCTGCAAAGATTCCTAATTTCTACATCCTTATATATTTCAGTTCTAACTCTTATATGACATATCGCAATCAAAATAGACCCCTATCCTCCAAAATAAATATTTTCTGTGCCTGTAGGTCCATGTTTGACTTATGGCCTCTGAAATTTGAGACTTCTAGGCCATCTCTGATTAGCATAAAGTTATCAAAAGGCAGCCACGCCCACAATTTTTGGGTTTGAGGGGTGGGTTCCCACTGCGATTCAATTATGACATTTTTCTGATCAATTCGTTTGGCTTTGATTTGATTTCATTTTCCTGCACTTGTGCAGGGCGTTGACGTCTGCCAAATGTTACAAATTGTCCGTGCCCCGACCTCTAAGGACCACCTCCTCGTCCTCGTCCTCTCATCTGTCGAATGTCCTGGTGGCACTCGTACTCGTAGTATCCGTGGACATGAACGTGTCCTGGGGCATGCGAGCTGCACGCAAATTGACGGGTAAGCATGTGGCATAAACGGAAACACTAACATCGTTAGGCGAGTCCTGCCAGAGGGTGCCAAAATAACAAAATACGAAAATAACGGAATAACAATCATAACCATTTTTGAGTAACCAGGCCCCGAGGCAGTTGTTTTCACTTCTGACCGAATGACTCGATTTTTATGGTCGCTTAGGGTTAATTGAGGCTGCAGATTCCACTCAGGGGTTGCTTGTTACATTACGCGATGTTTGTTTTGGTTAGACAGTTTTTATATCCGCTACAAGGACTCTATTTAAGTGGTCCGAATTTGTTTGATCGACTTTCATAAATCACTCCTTTATTGAAATGTAACTTGTTATTCGTACACAATTCTTGTTTTTAATACTTATATACTTTTTAATATTCACGGCTAAGTAAAGAACTTTAGACTTAAGTCCACAAATTTAAAGTCGTTACAACATAGGTACAAATTAATCTTTATTATGTTCTATATGCACAAACTTAGTGGCAGAAATATTATTACTAAGAGTGCTTAATGGCAAAAGCCGAACGAACTTATCATTAAAAGATTTATCAAATGCAACATTTTTCCCGCATTATTTATTTAAAAAAGTTTACCCCTTCCAAAAATTGCTGCCTTTACTGAAAACAATTTTAATTTTATAAGAGGTAAAAAAAATACATTCAATTGACCAAGTTGTGTCCTACCAATTCACATAGCAGCATAATAGAAATTCCAACGACTGCATCTGCAACACCGGCACTCACAAACATGCAAAGGGAATTTCCGCTTCCGCTTGGGGAAACTCTGTTAAAGCGACGCGAAAATGGAGCCAAGGTAAAACGCATCACACAATCTCGCCGGCATTCCCTGCAGGATAATGCAAACGAAATTGGTCTCACTTTGAATTCGATTGATTTGTCTGCAGCACGGCTCGTTAATATCCTCTTAAATCACTTAACCACATTTGCCGATTACGGCGAGGACAGAAGAAGAATGTCCTTGGCAGTCGGGCGCAGCGGGGTCCTTCGGTGTAAATTCGGTGTAAATTTTCACACATTATTCGGATGCCCGGACAAGGACGAGACAATTACTGGGCTCCGATAACATTGTCTAGTGGGATTTTCTCCACCTCGGCAGCCATCTCTCTTTTGCACACAGTACAGCTGATAATGTTAATATGCGCCGCAGGACATCAAACACGGCGCAGGCGAAGGGATCAGGATGAGGTATTGAGGGCACTCAACTTTGTTTGGCCAATCCGCTTAGGCTTTTGTATCTCAGCCTGCTTTGGAATATGTTTTCAAGGGTCGGGATTATCGGTTGTTGTTTGGTGCGATTGTTAAATGAACAGCGGTGAGAGTGAGTGTCTTCTCTTTCGAAAAACCGCAAAAACATTCTTAAAGATCGTTTTGCGGCCATGTTGCCACTGTATTTCTCTCTCTCTGAGAGACGGAACTCTGCTCTTCAGCTGCCTGCGAATGTGATCCTGATCCTTATCGCAGCATGCGTCCTTTCACTATTCCAGCGTTGTTTTCACAGCCTCCGGCCACAGTTGCCCTCATTAGCAGCTTAGGGGCGTTGACGTGTTTTGCTTGCTGGCTGACAATGTTTGCTACTTGCCCGGCTGTGTAATGTCCTTGTTTTCGGCCTGAAAGACACTTCTTTCAAAAGCGTGCACTTCTCTTCCGCCCTTCTTGCCTTCCCGAGCGGAACAAGAGGTTCCTGCCAGAGCGATCCATTAAATAATAGTATCATTGACATTTGCGAGAACTGAAGAACGCCTTTAGGAACCGAAGGACGAGGATGGAATGCGGCCGGGGGTTGATTTTGAAACCAAATCGTGTGATCATTATCGGTCGTCAGCTAATTTATTTCTCTATCGATCGATCTATTGAACGACATGGGCTGCCATATTTGGAATTGATTTTATTAAGACTTGTACAGTTCTAAGAATAGAAAGTTAAGTCTATTACTAAGTGGTGACTCGAAATAAGATTTTTTCCGTGTTGATAAAAAATTTACCATGAAAATGAGTTTGACCCTCGTTAAAAGAAAAATTTTAAAGTAGAATATTAGAAAACTTAAACCGCGTCTAAATCGGGATCCCCTAGCTGAAGTTATGGAATCTAGAAGTGCAGTTTTGGGTTGCAATTCTGAAAGACATTGGACTTATGGAAAAATCGAACATTAAAATGGGTTAAAAAGTTGACCCACGCCTAAGAGAACAATTTGAATGTATAATAATAGAGAATTCAACCACAAACTCATAGAGGTATCCCACGTCGAAAGCGGAATTAAATTACTTAAGTTATGGATTCTAGAAGAGCAGTTTTGGGTTTCCATTTGACAACCATTGGAGTTACGGAAAAATCGAACATGGAAATGGGTTAAAATTTTCACCCTCGTTAAACATAATAATTTGAATGTGGATTATTAGAGAATTGAACCACAAATTCATAGAGGTATCCCACGTCGAAATCGGAATCAAACTACTCAAGTTTTGGAAGCTAGAAGTGCAGTTTTGGGTCCCCATTCTGACAGCCATTGGAATTACGGAAAAATCGAACATGAAAATGGGTTAAAATTTTGACCCTCGTTAAAAATAATAATTTGAATGTGGATTATTAGAGAATTCGACTACAAATTCATAGAGGTATCCCACGTCGAAATCGGAATCAAATTACTTAAGTTATGGAATCTAGAAGTGCAGTTTTGGGTCCCCATTTGACAACCATTGGAATTACGGAAAAATCGAACATGAAAATGGGTTAAAATGTTGACCCTCGTTAAAAATAATAATTTGAATGTGGATTATTAGAGAATTGAACCACAAACTCATAGAGGTATCCCACGTCGAAACCGGAATTAAATTACTCAAGTTATGGAATCTAGAAGTGCAGTTTTGGGTCCCCATTCTGACAGCCATTGGAATTACGGAAAAATCGAACATGAAAATGAGTTAAAATTTTGACCATCCTTAAAAATATTACTTTGAATGTGGATTATTAGAGAATTGAACCACAAACTTATAGAGGTATCCCACGTCGAAATCGGAATCAATTTACTCAAGTTTTGGAATCTAGAAGTGCAGTTTTGGGTCCCCATTTGACAGCCATTGGAATTACGGAAAAATCGAACATGAAAGTGGGTTAAAATTTTGACCATCGTAAAAAATAATACTTTGAATGTGGATTATTAGAGAATTGAACCACAAACTCATAGAGGTATCCCACGTCGAAATCGGAATCAATTTACTCAAGTTATGGAATCTAGAAGTGCAGTTTTGGGTCCCCATTTGACAACCATTGGAATTACGGAAAAATCGAACATGAAAATGGGTTAAAATTTTGACCATCGTAAAAAATAATAAGTTGAATGTGGATTTTAAGAGAACTCGACTACAAATTCATAGGGGTATCCCATGTCTAATTCGGGAACCTATAACTGAAGTTATGGAATCTAGAAGTGCAGTTTTGGGTTCCGGTTCTGAAAGTCATTGGACTTATGGAAAAATCGAACATGAAAATGGGTTAAAAATTGGACCATCGTTCAAAAGTAATATTTTAATGTAGAATATTAGAGAACTCAGCCACAAACTCATAGATGTATTCCATGTGAAGGTCGGACAACAATATCTCAAGTTATGAAATCTACTTGTGCAGTTTTGGGGTCCTATTCTGAAAGCCTGAAACCCTTAATTTTAACAGTTTTCTGTACCTTGATAAAACAAATAAATTTTAATAAAATGAAGTTTGTTTCTGTGCAGTACAGATTTTTTTGTACGCCATCTACCGTCATCGATTGCAGGGTATGGCTTCCGTTCCCCAGAGTTCTCATAGATGGCGTCGTACCGATAGATGGCGCCGCATCGCGTGTAAAATTACAGTCTGTATAATTTTATGATATACATGTAAAGCTTTTCTTGTTTAAA